CTGCTAAGTCGTCAAAATATTCTGTATCTTGCATATGAGCTTCTGACGTTCTGACAACTACATATCTTCTGTCAGAACTTTCTAACTTCATCGGAACGGCGTTGTTTGAAACCATGACGAAGTTTGCAACATTTTCACAAACTCTTTGGTCTCTATACTTTCTTTCAACAACTCCAACTTTGTCTGTTATAAGACTCTTCAAAGCATCTGAGTTTAAAACCTTTGTTGTATCTATACTTTGAAGTTCGTTACATACTATAAGTTTCATATTCTCTATTGAAGAGTTAAATTTACCGCAGATGTTTTCTAAGTTTGTCATATTAGGGTTCGAATAGCCCTCTAACAGTTTGCACAAAATATCTGTAAAGAAAGTGTTCTTACCAGTTCCTTGTTTTCCAATTATGATGAGAGCAGTTTCATTTTAGCACTTGGATGTTGTAAGATGTTTGCAAACCAACATAAGTATACTCATAGACTCTTTCGTTTCCATTGCATATAATTTCTTTGACATGGTCTAACCAAGCTTCTATAATATTTTCTTTCCATTCTACTTGTTCGTATTTATATCAGTGAAGATAGAAATAGAAGTTTGGAGAAGGTGTATAGAACTTTATACCACGAACTGAAAAATCTTCTAACTTGACAATAAGATATCCCAAGCATCTAACATCTTCATACCAACCTGTACGACTTTTATTTTCTTAAGTTTTTGTCTACATTCTTGTTCTGAAACTATTGTCGCTCTTGGTTTGTTAAGACAACATCCCATTCTTTCATGACATAACATTCTGGGGCAGAGTCGACATAAATGACTAAACGTTTCAAATTCTCGACTGCTTTGTTATAGTCTCTAAATGGACACATATTTCTGAAGGCTTGGAAGTCATAAAAATCTGAAACGTCTATTCTGTACATTTTTATAAAAATAAAAAAAAATATTTTTTTTATTCTTGACTTTGTTGTTGCATTTGTTCCATTTGTTGCATTTGTTGTTCTTGAGCTATTTGTTGTTGAAGTTGTTCTTGTAGTACAATACTTTCACCAGTTGTCTTCCAATTCGAAACTTTCTGCCGTCATTGACAAATACATAGGACATAAAAGTTTTACAGGAACAAAGTTTGCGTCAACTAATGTCAACGTTATACTTGCCAAAGTGTTTGAGTTCACTAAGGTTGAAAATTCTGCATTCGAATGAACAATAGGCAAACCAGCAGAGAAAGTGTTGTTTATACGCATGAGTATCTTTTGGTCATAGTAGTTTCTGTCGATATTCGAATAACACTTTGAACCTAAGTTTGAAACAATATATAAAATAGGTGTGCTTAAAGTCAATGGAATAGATAGACCTTGTATGACACCTTTTCCTGTTATAGGAAACTGTTGGTAGTAAAAACCAGAAATAAGTTTTGTATTATAGCTCATATTGTTTATAGTAAACTCAGTCGGACATCCAAACATAATGAAACCTGCTCTAGTTGCAGCACATGTTACACCCGTCCTTAAAGTATTAAATAAGTCAACAAAAACCTGTTGGTGGTATATCTGAGTAAGTATCTTCAAAGGAGTATTTTTTACCATTCACAACAATAAAATCTTCTGGTGTCAAAAGAGCAAAACAGGCTTTAGTCGTCATTGTGTTTAAGGTTAGTTTACAATATCGTCCTTGAGGACTTTGTAAGTTTGTTGTTATAGAATTATATGACTCAGGGTTTTTAGTCGTAATAGTATAAACCACTATGTCTTCTGCCATTTACTTAGCAAATAAATTTTAATGAAATGTTGTGGTCGTCAAATATTTTTATGACGTCTGGGAAACTATATTTTAAGTTCAACGTTTCACCTCCTTTCATAACGTATATCTTGTCAATGACATTATATGAAACACCACAGCAACTAACGTCGGGTTCTATTTCTTTGATGTTTATATCGTCTGCCTCTGTCAAAAGTTTCAATAGTTCTTTCAAAATTTCATGAGGTGCGATGACATATGAGTTCACTTTTACAGGGTTGTGTTCGACCAAGTTTAACATTATACCTAAAGCTTGACAAATCTTCTCCTGAGTTTTAAGTTTGTCTTTCAGTTGTTTGTAGTCATTTCGAATATCTGCAACAGAACTTAAGTCTCTGCTAACTTCAGGGTATGTTGGTTGTTCTTTTACAGGAACTATTGTTATACCATCTTCGTCTTCGTATGGTTTCCCCACTTCAACATCTCTTTCTTTGACATTGACAACAACACTTTGACTGTTTGTTTGAGTTGGTGAATTTAACTTCACATCTGCCACCGCCATTAAACCTTTTGAAACACTCACGCTTCTATTTTTCGGAAATGACATTTTACTTAGAATAAAAAGATGGACGTATTTGAGTATCTCTTCGAATTGAAGCAAAACAAAGTTTATACACACAAACAGTACAAATACATTGACAGAGTAGTTCTTTACACAAACAATGGAAAATGTTATAGAATAGCAGTCTTTGCTGAACCAAAATATTTTCATAAAGCAAAGAAAGTTGGTATAACCGAGATGGTGAAAGTTCTTGAAGCAGACAAAAATATAACAACAAAACTGACCGATATTTCTAAAGGTAAGTTTATAATACAATTTTATGTCAAAACTGGCGTACTGTCAATATTTGACGGAGAGAAGTCAGTTCAAGAACAACTTACTGACCTGCTGCCAAAATCTGCTCGATGGAAGCTGTCGTTATACCAATCTGAGGAGCCCCAGCAGGTTTCATCGAACGAATCTTCAAAAGAGCATCTTCCGTGAAAAGTGCTATTGGTTTTGTAAACTTCTTTGCTTTCAATTCATTTGGACCGTCTCTGTCACCAGTATATTGTATTTGAACTGTACCAACAGTTGAAATACCACCCATAAAGTCTTCTGAGTCAGCAAATGGAATGCCAAGCCAAAAGTTTGAACGGTCTCCATTTGTATATTGAGTGTTTTGAGCTCCTGTATGGGTCCATACTTTCACATATGGCATAATAGAACTTTGCATTTCAGGGTTAATGGTTGTTGTGAAGTTGTTGTTAAAGTTCATAGCATCTAATGTCAAGTTGTATGACCTCATATCCTCAACTGTAGAATATTCTTCTCTTGGATAGTATTTGCCATCTATGTTTATATGGTATTTAATACCAGGGTTGTTAGAAACAAGAATAGTCATTTATAGTTCGTCTGAACAGTACAAACATAGTATCTGCATGTTTCATTGCAGTTGTCAAAGCAATATCTGTTCTTGCACCTGGGTCAGCACTTTGGTTTCCAACTTCACCTGCAAAGTCTTTGACAGATATTTGGTGTATAGGGAACATAAGTGGAACTGCAATATATTTGGCAGCTAAAGCATTTGAAATATCTGGGTCCAACATATAGACTGCAAGTCTGCTTTCTATTCTCTTGCATTCAAATTTTTCGCATGTGAACTTAACTGGGTCCCAAGCAGTTCCAGCAGCATTGAAATAATAGTTTACTTCAGTGTGAGGTTTGAGAAACCAAAGTCTAAGTCAACTTTGTCTTTGCAAAATTCGGCGAATGACGTTTGATTTGCTCCCTTTACGTCTTAAGAGAGTGAATGGGTCTTGCGTTGGTGCAATGACTAAGTTATTTTTGCTTGGAGTATAAGTTCATAGAAATTTTTCCTGCCCAGTTTGGCAAGTATCTTAAAAACCTGAAGATGAGGAAAGATGACAAAGGAACTCTAAGTTTCAGTTTTACTTTGGTTACTGCTGCTGCAGTTTGTCCAGAAAGGTTAACATAAACTCCTGGAACGTTAGGGTCAAGTCTTCTTATTTTCTCAATAGTTGCATGCTGGTCTGTTTGTTCTCTCGCTTGTGGTTGTACTGAGTTTCTCAAAGCGAACCATTCATAGTTTGCCCATGTTACTGTTTGAACTAAGTCAGAGTTAGAATATATCTTATATCCCATGAAAACTTCTGGAGCATATTGGTATCCGACATAGAAAATTCCATTGCAACCTTTCTTGTCAGACAACTTGGCAGAAGGTTTTATTTCAATGTCTTGTTCCACGTATAAGAAAGAGTTGTCAATAGAAATTATATGAAACCTGTCGCAAGCAATATCTACTGTTGTTGAAGAACCTTCTCCAAACTCACCTACGTTTCCATAAGAAACAGCAGTTGTATATTCGTAAGTTCCAGGAACTATTTCTGACCTTCTAATGGCATTGTCGCATTCGTTATACCATTCGGAAACATTTCCATTCATAGCATCCAAAACTGTTGGCGTTATATTCTGAGCGGCGTACATTTCATATGAGTAAAAATATAGAATAGTTGGATTTATATGTCATAATAGAACCCACGTGGACCAAGCTTTACTTTCTTCCTGACTGAGTTTTTAACTCTTCTTTTTCCTTCATTGCCCTCTGCTTGAAGTTGTTGCATCTTTGCATTATGTTCATCTAGTATGTTGCAAATTTCCCATGTCCTTTTTGCCTTTTGGCTCTGGTCGCCCATCTCAGGTAACCTATATCCTAGAAAGAGTTTGTCATAGTCTGTATTTGAGTCTTTGCGTATTGTTTGCATGACTCTTTCCTGAGTTTCTGGTTCAAGCTCTTCAAACAGTGCCTGTCCATATGGAATAAGCTCGTTTCCAAATATATGTTTTTGTAGCCATTCTGGTTTTCTTTCCATGTTACCAACTATATCTTTTGTGAATGGGAAAGCTTTTACCCAATCTTTCAGTCTTGCGTCGTTTATTTCTGTAGTTGGTTTTATTTTGTCAAGGAACATGTTTTTCAATACTAACATTTCATTTGGTACTGTCCATTTGAGTTTTCTTAAATATTCATCCCTTCTCATTTCATTGTCTGCAAAGTAAGTTTTTATGACATTTTGTAAACTTTCGTTTGCAAGGTCATGTACAATAGGTTCTCTTCCTTCGCTGTCCATAACTTTCTTTCTAAACTCTTCACCAAATATACCATCTTTATGGTTCTGTGTAGTTCTTTGAGATAAATGTTCTAGAACGTCAGGTGTTATATTTCCATCAGCCATGTTCATTTCATACTGGTCCAAAATATCTGCATCTTTCATATCTTTCAATGGCATTAAAGCCGCGCTGAAAATACCAGCTATATCTGGTTCACCATTGACTTCCATTGCGTCTACAACTTCTTGGAATTGTGGTTGTAAGTTTATGAACCACCTATCTGGGTTAGCTTTATGACCCCATCTCATTGTAGTTCCATCGTCTGCAGAAACAAAAGTAGGTTTGTTTCCATCTTGGTTAGGTTCTGAATGAACTTTAAACAATGTTTCATTTCTATATGTTTTCTTGAAATTTAACCTTTTATCTTCACCGAGTTCATCCGAAGATTGAACGTTAAATGCTCGTAAGTAAAAAGGGTTGTTGTATTTGTGTACATTTTCTTTCAGTACTTCCATTCTATGCTGAATATTTTCATCTGGTGTTGGAGTCTTTTGTATGTCGGCAAACATTTTTCGATATTCTTCTACTATGTCAGCCGAATTTTTTTTAGACTCTTGGAAATATTCCATATTCTCCGCATACTCTTGTTGAGGGTCAAGATTTTTCGGCTGTTCCAAATCTTCATCTAGTTCTGTGAAGTTAGTTTCCAAAGGAGGGACTTGTTCGTTTCCTTCAGGCTCTTCTAGCTGTTGTTGCTGAACTATTTCTTCCATGTCTGGTTGTATCTGAACTTCTTCCTGTGGAGTTTCTTGTACCTCATCTGCTGGCATTTCATATATTCCGAGACCGTTTTCAACAAGTTCCCTTTCTAAGTCATCCGGACTCATAAACCTTTCTTCTTTCGTTCCGTCTCTATTTTTTACGCGTTTCATGAAGAGAGTTAAATTGTCATTTAGCTCTGACATCAAATATCTCGGAGTAAATTCGTTCATGTCATTTGGATGATATGCTATTAAATCATATCCCTTAGCGAGCTTGTATTTTCCAGGTTTGAGATTATATCCTTTGGTGCAGAGCCATAAAGCTAAATAGGTTCGGGTCAGTATTTCCATCCTTGAACTTTCTAATAGCTTCTTTATATCTGTCACTAAAGTCAATAGTATCTGGGTAACCATAGTCTTCTTTAAGCATTTTTAAGAATTCTTGGTTTCCTTGTTCTCTACTTCTTTTATGTCCTTGCTCTGGTTGTGGAGGTGGTTGTTGTGCAGGGTTTTGAACTGTTGGTTGTTGTGTTGGTTGTTGTGTTGGTTGTTGTGGAGGTGGTTGTGTTGGTTGTTGTGCTGGATTTTGAACTGTTGGTTTTGGTGCATGCCTGTGTCTGTGTCCATGTGACGATGTAAATGTGTTAGGTAGTCCTGGTGCAGGTGCTTCTCTTGGAGGGTTTGGTGGTATATAAGTTCCACCAGCTGGCACATATGTTCCATCTGCAGCGTAATGTCCTACCTGACTTTTCGTTCTTAAGAAAGCATTTACTAGGTCTGTTTTGGTCTGTTGTAACTCTTTTTCTTGACTTTCCACAACAGTTGCTCTAACGGCGTCATAGGCACTTTGAACTGCCTGTCTCGTTGCTGCATCTGTTATTTTCGTCATATTTTGTGCTACTTCTTTTAACTCTTTGTCGAAACCTTCAGACTTCAGTTTCTTTCCAGATGAGAAGTCGTTCACTAGTTTCACCTTACTATGAAGAGCTTCGAAGGCGTTCTTAAAGTCAGCATTTGTTAAAGCTTCATTTGAACTATCTTCATCCGCTTGTATTTTTGTCCTTATTGACCCTATGAGTTGGGCTGCTTTAGCGTTGGCTTGGGCATCTAACCAGTCATTGTTAGCTTTTATATATTCTGCGCTTTTCATTGCCTTTTGCATAGCCGCGTCGTTATTTTTACTTTCTTGTGCTAAGTTTTCATACTGTACGGTTTGGTTTTGCAACTGTAAAAGTTTTTCTGCCTTTACATTTGCTTCAACTTCTTTTTTATACTCATCGCTATCCATATATGTCTTCAGGGCTTTTTGTTTTATCTCTTCATCTTTCAGTACTTTATATTGAGTAGTATGGTTTTTCAAATTTACAACATCTTGTTCCATTTTTGCTACTTCTGCTGCTTTTTCTGACACTTTTTTCGCATATTCCTCTGTACTTAGTTCTTTCAGTTGTTCTTCTTTCTTCTTTTTCTCTACGTTTAACTCATTGAGTTTCTTTGTGTGTCTGTCATATTCTAGTTTCTTTTCGTTTTCGCTTATTTGCTTCTGTATGTCTATGTTTGACTTTTTGACATCTGATATTTGATTTTTGAGTGAACTCAAATTCATTTGACTTTGAGGGTTATATGCTGTTCCGTCTGCAGCTCCACCATAGCCTGCCATTTTCGCTAAAAGTGCCGCTCTTAAACCTCCACTCTGTGCACCAACAACTCGGTTTAAAAGCATAGGATTGCTTGACATTTGTTGCAACATAGTGGGGTCATTCATAATTTGTTGTTGCAACTGTTGTTGTGGTGTTAGTCTTACTATTGGATGTTTCAATGCTCTCTTCCTCTTACGTATATTCTTACGTAGCTTACGTGGCATTTTAAGTGAAGTTAAAAAGAGGCTTTTGACAGATGTTTATATGAGACTTCTTCGTAAAGACTTTGTTAAGACTTCTTCGTAAAGACTTTGTCAAGACTTCTTCGTAAAGACTTTGTTGAGATTTCTTCGTAAATGACCCAAAAATATATTTTAGGTGAAGAGGTGAGATTTCACCTCTTTTTTCACCTCATTTCTCACCTCTTGAATTTTCATGAATTTCTTCGTAAAGACTTTGTTAAGACTTCTTCATCTAATTTCTCATGAACTTTCTTGTCTATGTTTTGTTGAGATTTCTTCGTAAAGACTTTGTTAAGACTTCTTCGTAAATGACCAAAAATATATTTTAGGTGAAGAGGTGAGATTTCACCTCTTTTTTCACCTCATTTCTCACCTCTTGAATTTTCATGAATTTCTTCGTAAAGACTTTGTTAAGACTTCTTCGTAAAGACTTTGTTAAGACTTCTTCGTAAAGACTTTGTTGAGATTTCTTCGTAAATGACCCTAGTAGTATATTTTTGGTGTAAATTTCATGAAAATTCAAGAGGGTGAAAAATTAGGTGAAAAAACAGGTGAAATCTCACCTCTTCACCTAAAATATATTTTTGGTGTAAATTTCATGAAAATTCAAGAGGGTGAAAAATTAGGTGAAAAAACAGGTGAAATCTCACCTCTTCACCTAAAATATATTTTTGGTGTAAATTTACGAAGAAGAAGTCTTGACAAAACATTTACGAAGAAGAAGTCTTGACAAAACATTTACGAAGAAGTCTTGACAAAACATTTACGAAGAAGTCTTGACAAAACATTTACGAAGAAGTCTTGACAAAACATTTACGAAGAAGTCTTGACAAAGTCTTTACGATGAAATCTTGACAAAGTCTTTACGATGAAATTCATGAAAATTCAAGAGGTGAAAAATGAGGTGAAAAAACAGGTGAAATCTCACCTCTTCACCTAAAATATATTTTTATTGAATTCTGTATAATATTCTGAGTAATATGACAGATGTTTATATAACACTTTCTCCGGTTTATAGGACCTCTCTCATATTCTATCTTGTCATATCAAAACTCATAGTCATGTTTGTCCTCTAAGACTTCATTTATACTAAACATCTTCGGGGCTAGAAGGCACGAAGTGCCTGGAAGCCCCACTACCTTTTTTTTTTTTTTTTTTTTTTTTTTTTTTTTGTTCATGGTCATTAGCTTTTCGTAATATACGAACAACTTTATCACTATTGATTAATTGAACTTTAAATTTAATCAATAATGCTGGAACAACCGTTGTGTATAATTCAACAACAAAATCGTCTAATCGAATATTCCTTCTCTCTGGGAAATAAGAATGCTTGAGAACTTTGAAATGTGACTCACTGACGTTATTAGTCGCGTCACCTCCGTTGCGATAGCGCTTATTCCAACGATCTAAATGATGCCTCCATTGCCTATCGAAGTACTTTTGGGCTTTCGGTTCAGTGGAAAGAATTTCAAGAATTCGATCATAAACTGCATCTAGGTCTGCAGCTTCTTCTTGAGTGAGGTGCTCTGGAACTTCTTCACTTGTTTCAAACGTTTCTTCTTCTGGAATAAATTCAGAATCGTTTGGATCATCAGAAGATTCTCGTGGTAAAAAGATTTGAGAAGGTTGAAATTCATTTTCGATGAATTCTTCTTCATATTGTTCCTCTTCTTCAATTTCTTCTGCTTGAAGTAAGTGAGATTGAGCTGGTTCCTCTCTAGGATTTTCTTCTTCTTGGTTCTGTTCTTCCTCGGGAGATTCTTCTTTAGTATCGAATACTAATAATTTCATTAGATTATAAAATTCTTCAAAATTGTCTCGTGATTTAAACTTATCCGCTTTTCTTAATATGGCGCGAAGGACATGCACGCCACACCAAAGAATATGACAGTTTGGAATACCTCGCTCAATTGCCTCGGCTATTTGTGGGGCGCAGTCCATACTTATCATCTCGGGTTCTCTATTAATATATTGAAAATAACGACAAAAACAATATTGAATATTTTCGCTTGTGTCAGGAGAAATAAAGAAATACAAAAAAGGAAAAACAATAGTATGTTCTGTTTTTCCTGTGAGTGCATATAATGGAATGTTAGCCCTTAGAAGTTTATACGTTGAATCGATGTGAAACGTAGAAATTTGGTGACCAAGGGCCTTCGCTTCGAAAGGTGCATATAAAAAAACTAGTTTTCCCGGCTCAGAGATAAATTCAATTAAATCTTCTGGACAACTTTCTTGAACAGATTCGACAAAGATAGCTAAAGAAACTTTTTCATCCGAACTAAAGCGTTTGGAAACAATTTCAGCTCTTTGAGCAAATTTACGTAATGCATCTGGACCTTGTGCAAATATTGAAAGTAACTCTTCGTCTGTATATGAAATATTTAAGTCTTGGAAACACTTAAGTTGAGCTGTAGCATGATTCATATTGTTTTCAAAGTAATGTTTAAGATAATTTCTGACAAATAATGAGGATATTGTTTTTGTTGATTTCGGAGGTGCAGAATGATCATGAGAGTCAGAGTGGATTAGTAGTTCATATTTATCTTGATCTATTATCCGGACTTTGAATTTAGCTTGACATTGTGGATACTTACATTTGTATTCGATCGTGGAGTATTCTTTCCTGCATTTTTGAGAGTAGCCCATGCTAGCTTTTATCTCTTCTTGGATACCAAACTGGAGGAGCTCCATAGTGTTGAATATCACGGGCTCCATACAACAAATTGAATAAGGTATTTCAAAATTTGAAGGAAATGGTCCATCATTGAATGTAGTGGCCGGGAATTGAATGACATACAGATAGTTTGAGGAGATTTGTTATAAATTATAATATAATTGAAGAATTAATTATCAAAACAAGTCTAAGAGCCATTTGTCAGATTTTCCCGAAATGCAAGGTTAAGATTTTAGCAGCGACTAACTTTGAGTGTACATATATAATTGTTATACTGAGTACTTTCTATCTGTGTTACTTATTTGAGTCTAAGAGCCATTTGTCAGATTTTCCCGAAATGCAAGGTTAAGATTTTAGCAGCGACTAACTTTGAGTGTACATATATAATTGTTATACTGAGTACTTTCTATCTGTGTTACTTATTTGAGTCTAAGAGCCATTTGTCAGATTTTCCCGAAATGCAAGGTTAAGATTTTAGCAGCGACTAACTTTGAGTGTACATATATAATTGTTATACTGAGTACTTTCTATCTGTGTTACTTATTTGAGTCTAAGAGTCATTTCTACCATAGAACTAGATATTGTCTCTCATTAAATATATATAACTGTAAACTGCTTAATTCATTTATCTATTTAGATAAAATTATATTTATATAAGATTTCATGTTATTATTTCATCATTATTATTTTTTTTATTCCTTTGAAAAGTGACACTGGATAGTTTGTCCCTTTCTCTAATTATAAGTTCTCAATTTTGAATCTAATAAAAAATACTTATTTTTTTCTTTGTTTCTTGTATATATAATTATACCAAATACGTTAGATCCAATTATTCAATTTCTACATCAAAAATTTTTTAAAATGGTGAATTTCATAATTGCAATCCAGTACACCTGAGATATATATGCTTCGCTTTTTAACACTTTATATTACTTTTTATACAATAGTAAGATATCGAATTCATTTTCCTATTTATGGCAAGTATCTTAACTTTTTGCGCGCAGATATGAGTCAGCCCTATAAATGGGTGATCACTCGAACTAGTTTATTGAACTCTAATCTATCAAATCGACAAAAATAATTTCCATTTTAACCAAAAATAATCTTTTTTCATAGAAATAAATACTTCTCACCATTTCATTACATTAAAATAAGGATGTCAATTCGGAAAATTGTTTTCATTTTAGGAGAATATAATTTTTTTTTTGGAAAATTTAAAAAGTGAGACGCGCAGGATTCGAACTTTTTAAAAAGTTGATTTAAATATATTCTAGTGTGATTTCTAAGGATAATATCATATTTAAAATAAGAATATACTAGTTTGGGCGGTATAATTTTTTCGATAAATTTGAGAAAATGTACGTTTAGGGCATCAAAAGTGTCAATTCGCTCAGCGAAAGCTGAGCTAGCTTCGTTCTCGAAAGAATAGGGAAGGAGTGAAAGAGAGTGATACAGATGTTGACACATTCATATCATTTCAACAAATTTTGATCAAATTGAAATGCAATGAAATTCAATTCACTTCATATCCTTCAGTCAGTACATTGACATCCTTCTACATCACAATGATAACTCGTGCATCAATAGTTCTACAACTAACTCAGAAAAAACAAGATTTTTACTTCCAGCTTACAGCTTTTAAAAAGTTTCGATGATAAAAATCACTCTACTCTTGTTTATCGATATGTTGTGATAGTAGGTAAACGTATTCTTATCGATATTAATAAAAATATTTTTACGAAAATCTGAACCAATTACAGAGTTATTCATAAAGTTTATGATAACTGTAATTACTTCATCTTTGTTTTATATTTGAATAAACAATTTAATTTAATTTGCATAATTTTTTTAGTTGAAAAACAGGAAACTTATTTGAGTATGTATTATTTTTATCGTTCAATTCATTGTATCAGTGAGTGATCCAGATATTTAAGATATTTAGAAAAAATTTATTAATTTGATTAATAAATTTTAATCAAAATAGCAAAAATCTATTTGATAGCTGTAAGCAAACAATAACTTTTATTTCAAGCAAAATCACTTATTTTCATCTAAACGTATAAAATTGGGAATTTTATGAGAATAAATTTAAAATCAGGTCAGGTAAGTGGGGCTTCCAGGCGCGTTGCGCCCTCTAGCCCATAAGAAATTTTGCCCAAGACCCAAGAGGAGGACCGAACCCCAGCCGACCAGCCGGTGACAAAACCAAAACCGTTGTTATTTACATCATATTAATAGTGTCACTTTTTATGTCACTTTTCACAAATTATATATGTTTTCATGTTTTGTAACTTTTCTGTCACTTTTCGGGTAAAAACATTTTTATTATTATATATAAATGAATTTTACAAAACCACCGTTACCGTTCTTTGGAAATAAGAGTAGATGTAAAGATATTATATTGAGAGAACTTAAGAAACTACCGAATGGTCTAACATTTGTAGATTTGTTCGGTGGAAGTTTCTATATATCCCATTTATGTCATACCGTATTTCCTGACTCAAAGATTATATGCAATGACTTCGACAACTATATGGACCGTCTCAAACATATTCCAGACACAAACAATATATTGAAAGAGTTAAAAGAAAAGATACCTATAGGTAAGATGGAACGTATACCATTAGATAAGAAAAATATCGTGAGAGAGGTTTTGAAAAAAGCAGAATATATAGACTGGGATAGTATATCTGCTAGACTATTATATAGTGGTGCTATAAGAGTTCATGACATTGAAACACTTATGTCAAAAGTTTTATATCTTAACTATACAAATGTTTTCAAAGAGGACATAGAAAAATATATTGAGGGTATAGAGTTTGTGAGATGTCATTGGACAGAGTTGTATGAAAAATATAAAGACAAGGAAAATGTTTTCTTTATAGTGGACCCGCCGTTCTATAACACATGGGATTTTCAATACCAAGTAGACTGGACTTTGAGAGACTCTTTAGAAACTTTAGACGTTATACATAACCATCCATGCTTTTACTTTACATCCGATAAAAGTGGTTTGAAAACCGTTATGAGATGGTTAGAGGACATACATGACTATGAGTTTATATATGACAAGATAGAATATGAGAGAGGTCCTATAAACTGGAGAAAGTGTCACAATAAAGAAATTTTATTAGTAAGTAAATGTGGTTTGAAATAGGACTACTTGTTTTAGGTTTTTTCCATTGTGTCATTTATTTATTTGACGTAGCAGAAAAGTACAGAGAATATGAAGATGAACCAATGCCTGCAAATGTTCAGCATATGTACTCGTAAGAGATATTTTTATCTAATATTAAATGGACGCACAGAACTTAGCGAATGCACAGCAACCTGGACAACCAAACCCAGAGAATATTCCAAATGAAGTTAGAATACAAACTGCAATGGCAAACTATGGTCAAGTGCCAACAGATGTACAAATGCAAACTGCCATGTCAAATGACGCTGCGTTAGGTTTGCCACCATGATATGCAAATATGAGATGGATAGAGTTTTATACAAACCCTGAAGTGGGATATAAACAACTTTATGCAGATGACGCGAACACAGGAGTTGACCCAGAATATGTTTTCTACCAGAGGAGAAACAGAATGTATGAGCTCCAGTTAAAGAATGCTATGGAACTCAACAGGAAACGTAAGAGACTAGGCGGACATTAGATTTTTACATATAGTAAAATGGGTTTCTTCAGTAAGATAGGAAACTTCTTTCGAAATGTTGGAAGAGGTATATGGAATGGAATAAAATCTGTCGGAAGAGGAGTATGGAACGGTGTCAAAAATATTGGTAAAAGAGTAGGTCAGTTTGTTGGTATTATACCTAAAGACCCTGAACCAGAAGAACAAGCTCCTGTTATACAACAGCCTGAACCTGCACCACAGTCAAGTTGGCAACCACAACCGGTATATTAAAAAATTATATTTTTACCGTTCGATAGTAGTTGTATATGAAACTAAGTTCTAAGTAAAACGCATGGTATAATGGAATTATTCTTTTTCTTCCATCTGTAGTAAACCATACTTGAAAGTCTGAAATACTTCCACTTGGTGGTTCGTATAACTTTGTAGGTTTTTCGTAAAAGTCATTTGCCAAGCATAAGAAAGAGTTTTGGGCGCCAGAAAATGAAGCATGAACTATCACAGCATCTTGGTCGAAAACATCTTTAAATAAATATGGTTCATCTCTTGCATATCGACTGTAGATATTTGCTAAAGGAGGTTCAACTTTCTGATTTAACATTCTTTGCAAATAATACCATGACATTGCAGTGAATTCTGTATATATTTGTTCGTCTTTATTTGGATTGTCTTCGTAGATTTGAAATGACACTTGTGAATTTTGTTTGTCATATACAATTCTCACATAAAGTGTGCTATCGGTATTCGCATATTCATCAGCATATTTTGCATAACATGAATTTATTTTATCTTCTATATTTTTTAATGCAGTCTGTAGAGAAGATGAGAGGTCAACTTGTATTAGCTCAATTTCTTCCCACATTTTTCGTTGCCCTTCAGATGTATAATCTATATGAAACCTTACAATAAATGGAAAACTTTTATCTTCTACAGACACAAACTTTATTCTTCGAAAGCCAATAGCTTTTGTGACAGATGGGTCTCTTAACCATCTTAATGGGTAGTCAAAACGATAGCCTTCATGCTTTATAGTATCTAAGTCAAACTTTTGACCGACATTAGTAAAAAGTTCATCTAATGGTTTAGTTGTAGCAACTCTAGAATTTTCTTTTTCTATTGGAAGCATATTTTATCTATAATAAAAATGTCAAATGAAACAGCGTCTATGAGAGAAATACAACACAACCGACAACTCATTATGCAAGCTCTAAATAAGAACACAACAAACTTTTCAAACTATTCTAAGATATCTGAGTCATTGAAAGGGGGTGACTTAAAACTGACAATAAACCCTATAACAGATGAGTTTCTATTTCAAGACAATAAGAACAATACTGTCTGTATAAATCCAACAAAAGGAACTTTAAACGAGAAACCTATAAATGAACTTCTTTTGAAAGCAGATGTTGACAACAAAGCTGACAAAGAATATGTAGACGATGCAATAGCAAAAGAAGAAGAAAGAGCTAACAATGCTTATGCAACAAAAGAACATACTCATCCTGAACTAGCAGACAAAACATATGTTGACAATAAAATGTCAAGTGAAGTGACAAGAGCTGAAAACGAATATTCTAAAAAGACTCATATACATTATATTAACCAAATACCAAGTCTTAAGGAAACATTAGAGACAAAAGCAGATAAGACTCATACACATTCTATATCTGATATTACAAACTTACAAGAAACCTTAAACAGGAAAAGTGCCGTTGGACATACACATACCATTGCAAATATTACAAACTTACAAGAAACCTTAAACAGAAAAAGTGACATTGGACATACACATTCTATATCTGATATTACAAACTTACAAGAAACCTTAAACAGGAAAAGTGCCGTTGGACATACACATACCATTGCAAATATTACAAACTTACAAGAAACCTTAAACAGAAAAAGTGACATTGGACATACACATTCTATATCTGATATTACAAACTTACAAGAAACCTTAAACAGAAAAAGTGACATTGGACATACACATTCTATATCTGATATTACAAACTTACAAGAAACCTTAAACAGGAAAAGTGCCGTTGGACATACACATTCTATATCTGATATTACAAACTTACAAGAAACCTTAAACAGAAAAAGTGCCGTTGGACATACACATACATCTTCTGAAATAACAGACTTAAACGTTAGCCTTGAAAATAAAGCAGATAAAACATATGTCAATGAAATATACCAAAGTTTGATAGGAACAAAAAATATTGAAACTATTGTTGGTGACTTTTCTGTCAATGAAGAAAATAAATATTTTAGATGGCAGTTGGTACAGTCCTTAAAAAATGGTACACGGAATAAACTCATTCCGAAAAATAACAATGAAATGTATGTAAGCTATAAAAAGAATGATGGTACACAAGTTAAAGTTCCATTAGACAACAACTGCTACTTAAACTTATATGGAGACTAACAAAAGAAATATTTAAGAGTTTATGAAATGGCAGATATGACATTGCCTGACCCAGCTCCAGCACCACATTATTATGACTATGGAGATGACGACAGAACACCACATGTAGATGAACAAAAGCTAACATTATATTTAGATTATTATAGATATAAAAGATATAATGCAATAGAAAAAACGAGAATAGTATATTATTATACAGATGACAGAAATAAATATTATAGTCAAGATTTTACCTACCCTGAAAACATAAGATTATATTATAAAAAATATTCTGACACAAACCAGAAGACCTGAAATAGTTGCACTATATTTTAAGTTCAAAAGAGACAATCCTATAATATCTCATATGTTTGATTTAATGAACCCAGTAGGTTCTATTTATACATCTATGGATGCAAGAGGTCCTCAAGTAATGTTTGGTGTTGGTGCATGGGAACAAATAGTCGACAGGTTTTTGTATTGTGCAAACTCTTCAAAGGAAACAGGTGGAAGTAAAACATTTCAGGTGAAAATTTACCTGCACACAGTCATTACATAGATTTAAGTACATCTCAAGCAGGTTGGCATAAGCATAGATATTGGGATTGGTCAGGAATGACAAAAGGTAAAGGATATGATGTTAAAGACGACGTTAAGTTTGCTATAAATTGTTACTGGGATGACACGCAGGGAGAAGGAAACCATACACATTTCGTTTCAGGATATACGCAAACAACGGGACAAAGTAAAGAATACATGCCACCTTACATGACAGTTTACGCATGGTATAGAATTGCTTAGTCGTCATTTTCAACTTCTTTAGCATATTCGTCAGGAGTTGTCTTATATTTGTTAGGAACTGTCTTTGAAAGTATACCACCTTGAACTTTGACAAGTTTGAAACGAGGTCTGACAATAGTAGTTTTATCTTCTGCTTGCAGTCTGTACATTTTGCCATGTTTGCCTAAAACTTCATAATATTCTCTTGTATACTTTCTTCTATTTTTACGAACACGAATGTGAGTACCTGTCGGGTTCCCATTGTTGTCATAGTCAATAGTATTTTCATATGGGTCGCGTTTAGGTATTTCTATTTTTACTTTGTCACCTTTCTGAAGTTTGAAGCCCGGCATTCTTTCTTGTTTGTCTCTTTTGACTAAATTATTAAATATATAGTCTTTCTCTAAGTCAGGGTTGTTTTTCATTTCTTCGAGGGAGTGGTTTCCCAAACCTTTTTGTTTACGGTTATTGTAAATATTTAAAACTTGTCTCATCTTTGCCTGGGAGAAGTGTCTATACTTGTCGTCATATGACATTTCATTTGCTTCACCACCTTGTGGTTGGTTTAAGTCTCTTAACATTTTTATACAACCGTCAATGACACCAAGAGCAGAATGGTTTTGGTCGACAATGAAATATTGGTTTACATTTTTTGAACGCAGATAGTTTTTTACATCATCTGATTTGAAAGAACTTTCACAGTCAGATGTCAGTTTTGTTGGATGGTATTTGTCAACGAATATTGTCAAAGCTGCTAAGATATCTAAAATAGCTTTGGACTGTAATGGTATGGCTTCACAGTATCTTGTGTTTTGACCAACAAATATTAACCAGTATGGTGGTCCATCTTCTCTATACCTCGGAATGTTTTCCAAGATATCCATAAACCAAGCATTTGGTGTTGAACTAAAGATTTTTATCATGAGTGCTTTCTTTGTCGCTTTAGAAACATAGGAGTCCTTGTTCGGATTCGTCATTTTTTACCCTATAAGAAATGGGTTTATTTGGCGCATTAGCAGGAGTCGCATCTAGATTTTTACCCGCAGTGGGAACAATAGCCAAAGGTGCATTTGGAATTGGAAGGAAGATTTTGAGTACATTAGGTATACTTAAAGAGAACGCACAACCTATTATACAAACTGTACAGAAAGGTTGGGATGTAGCACGAGATGCAACAAATCTTATTCCAAATCCTGAAACAAGAGAAAAAGTTCAAGGATGGATGGACAATGTAGGAAGACAAGCAGGAAACTATTATAACAAAGCAAATGACTACTATAACCAAGCAGGACACTATATGGACCAAGGTGAAAGATTCTTTAACAGAGGATATAACCATGCACAACAATGGGTAAGCAATAACCAACCGCAACCGCCTCAAACTTGGGAAATGTAAGGTTTTTAACTAGGATGAAATGAACAATGCAGCATTGAGACAAATGAGTTCAAGATGGATTTGTCGGCTTCCAGCATTTAAACCGATACCATATAGTCAGGCTCAGCATGTGAAACTGAATGATATTATTAAAGGAACCATCCCACCTCCACAACAACAACCAGTTGAAAACAAACCAAATTAAAATTTTTTACTGAGATGAAATGACCGAAGAAGTTGAAACGGTAGATTTGACACCACAAACAAAAAGTTCAGAACCCTTGTCAAAACCTGTCAAAGAACTTACAGATGAAGAGAAAAATTCAATAATAGAAAGTGCCAGGTCTGGAAATACAAACCAGAACTATAAAGTCACTTTTCATAGAAATGGAACGGCTAGTATCTCAAAAAAGAAACAGACTCTCACAAATAAAATATTGAAGTCTGAAGGAGCTTTCGAGACAACAGATGGAAAAGTTTACTTCACTGACCAACAGTTCATTATAGAACATCTCATTGACTTAGAGTCGAAATATTCTAAACTTTACAACAAACACAAAAAGTTGAAAGGAAAACAAAAACAAATAGCATATGATATTTATGAAGATGTTGACGACACAACTGTTCCTGCAAGTGAAGTAAAGTCAGAGGAACCGAAAAGTGACGAAAAACCGATAGAAGAAGAAAAACCAAAAACTGAAGATAAACCAAAACCAAAGTTTAGTTTCCAAACTAAACCAAGTCAACCTTCATTAGCTGGTATGGGTTGGCGTCAAAGACTTATGGCAGCAGGCGGTTATGTAAAGTAAAGAAAAAAATTTTATTTTTATAAAAATGCCCCCATATAGAATGGACAGAAAGTCTGCTAGAATAAAAGCAGAGTTACAAAGATATGGTTGGAGAGTTTCGAAGAAGTTTAAATATAGGAAGGGAAAGCCAATAAAAGTCTATGACAAATTGCAGGTCTTACCTACGAATTAGATTTGGAAACAGCACGTGCCAATTATCCAAACAGACTAGAGAGGTTAGAAGAAGAACGTCTTATGGACATGCCTTTCGATGTTAGTGAACCTCAAGTTGAAGGACACGACGGCTTTGCCAGATTCTACTGGAAACATGACGAACAATTGCATCCTTTGAGAAGGAAAAAAGGAAAAGGTGAAGACGCACATGCTCCCATGGAAAGAACAAGATATGCATATGAAAAGTATCGTGAAGTTAGAAGTCAAATTACATCTGGTCGAACCTTTACAGTAAACTTTGACGAAGGAAAGAACAAAGAAGGCTTCATGGGAGTACTTGCTGCAATTCAAGACGGAAATAAGAAAGGACACAATCTCAGATTGACCATAACAGATTTGGATGGTCACATTTACTATGCACATGGCAATGAACAAATAGCCGCAAAACTTCTTGACGCTTTCAAGACTACAAAGAGAGAACAAATGGTTGACTCCGACTCAGACATTTTGAATGCAATTGAAGGAATTGCAAGTGTCAAGTTCGAATGGTACCAACCTAACCCTCAAGCAGTCAGACAACATGCTGGATACTTCCCCTTCATAAATAAGTCTGACATTGACTTGACAAGGTATGGAATTTACAATTCAATTGAAACAATTGTCAATGAACCTTGTATTCTCACATGTCTCAGGAACTCTGGTCTTGTTACAGATGAGAAGATGAAGTATCTTGAGTCATGTGTGAAGACAAGGTACATTCTCAGAGGTCAATTGGCAAAAATTGCACCGTTGGCAAATGTCAATATCCGAGTCAACATACCTACAGCTAAAGGTTCTTCACATGACGACTATGTTGTTGACAAAGACTTACCATGGTTGAAGATTGTAATTGTCCACAACCACTTCATGTTGAACGAAAGTCTTACAAACCCATTCTTTGGTAAAAGTAAGTGCAACATTGTCAGAGCTGTAAACATTCTTTTCGAGAAAGGTTTGTTGGAATCAATTCCAGATGACAAGCTGACAGAAACTTTTGTACCAAAAGACGAAACAAACTTTTCATTGTTAGCAAGACCAAAAGTTGTTCCAGACAAAGTTCTAGTACAAAAGAAGTACACAGTTCCACAAGGGGTTGGATTGTTCGGATACCAACCTGAACCAGAAGAACTTCCAATGAGGTTGCAAGAACTTCAAGATGCTATAAACAAACTTCCATTGAGACATCCAATTGACGTCAAATTGTATTGGAGAGCATCTGAGTTAGGTCAGAAGGTTTTATATGAAACAGGTTGCTTCGACGATGTTTATGAGATAACAGGAGAAGTTTCTCAGAAGATAAGAGACTCACTTGAATTTCCACAAACTGGACCAATTGGTTGCGACAAGTTCGACTCAGATGAAAAGATATACTATGTCGACCTTAACGCTGCATACATGAGGTTTGTCCAATATATTCCGACTGGAATTCCAAAACGAAGATGGTGAGTTCCCGGGAAGGAACTATACAGTTGGAAAAGTCATACAAACTGTATGATATTAGGAAAGCTTCAAACCCCAAACTTGCAATGACACTCAAATTGCTTATGAATTCGACATGGGGATATTCCATTAAGAAACCTCAAGAGATGAAGAGTAAACATTATGAGAAGGTCGACAACTTTGTTGAAAGGTTTTCTCCTTTTGTTTTGAAGTACGAATTCACTCAAGGTCAAAGTGGCTTAGTAACCACATTAAAACCTATTGTCGAACATTGGTCTTACCCTCAGTTCGCAAAGGCAGTCCTTGACAACTACAACAAATTCTTCTCCGAAGTCAAATCCAAAGTGAAGGTTTACTATGAGAACATTGACGCACTCATGACGAACGAAGAAGGCTATAACAAACTCATTGAAATGGGTTTAGTC